GGAGGAAGGACCAGAGTCCTCTGGACTCCGCCCTGGCGCAGCGCTCCTCCCAGTCCCTCGGCGCTGCCGCCCAGACTCACTAGTGTCTCTACCGTCCAGGATTCAGCGGGCGACCCTTGCCCCTTGCCTGCCTTGCGGACCTTCCAGGTTCTCCTGGTCCCTTCTGAGGACCCAGAAGAGGAAAGGAGCGCAGTGTCTTTAGAGGCCGGGGTTTTCTTCGTGGTTTGTGCCGGTCCCCCTGCCTGTCACGCGTGTCATAGGTTCGCCATCACTGACCTAGGACCTGCGAGCGGCAGACCTCCCTCTCCAGGACAGAATAGGCGGGGACCACCCACCTCCCTTCGCTCTGCCCTCTTTGCCTATTCAACAGACTTCCTCCGACGGAAGGAAAGTAGATTTTCCTTGGTTCTTACCTGCCCCTGCCTGAGGAAGGAAGAGATAAGGCTGCAGGCGCCTTAAGGAAAAGTCCTTGCCTGCCCTCCCTTGAGTTACCCCACAACCAGGGATGGGGGCTCAGCGCACAGGGCCTCAAACTTGTTCACCTACTGGCTGGAAAGCACACCTTTTCCTAAGTCATCTTGGTTATCATTGTTGACTGTTGGTGGAGCACCTAGCCAAGGTGGCAAGGAGAGGTAAGAGTCCTCGCCCTCAGGCAATATCTTTGAGAAGACAGTAGATAAACAATTCTTAGGAGACAGGCCCATAAGCCAGGACCACAGGGAAACTGAGGCAGAATTAAATAGAAAATCTAGATGCCAAGCAGTTTGCAGGCATCTAGTAAATCCTATCTTCCCTAAACCAGAGACACTTACAAGTAAATGGTTTGCACGTCTCCCCAACCAGAGGGTAAATGTTTAAATCACCCTACTCAGGGAGACAGCAGAAATCCAATTAGTGCCATTGGCCAGCCACTGGACAGACGAAGTTAAGAGAAGAAATTTCATTTTGGCACATCAGCATAAAACTGATGAATATTCCATTGAGATCCCCCCTAAGACCTTCCTTAAAGGCCCAGCCTTTATAACCCCTCAAAACAAAGGTCCAGAAAGAAAAAACAAAAAAACAAAGGTCCAGCTCCTGCTCTCCCTCCCGGGTGCATGCCCGCGCCTCCTCCCTCTTCTTCCCGACAGGCATGAATCTCTTAAACTCTAAGGGACCCCACGAGGCCTGCAATCAGGACAGCAACGGACAATGGTAGTTCATCCCCTAACAGTAACGGGCAAACCCCTGGAACTGTCCCCAGAGCCCTTTTTCTTGGAGTTCTTAGTGAGCCAAAGCAGACCAGGTTCATTTCCCCAGCCCTTTCTTGTCTCTCTGTCCCCAGCTTTAATAAACGCCCTCTAGAATGAATCTGGACTCATGTTTTGAGAATTTCCTGCATGAAGTCAAGAACCCACACACTACCAGCTAGCCCTAGGCAGACCCGTTCAGGGCCAGGTCCCCTTTCTGGTAACACTTACACCATATACTTTTTAAAAACTGACAATCTGCCCTGGCCAGTGTGGCTCAGTGACTAGAGCATTGGCCAGCACACTAAAGGGTCCCGGGTTTGATTCCTACTCAAGGGAACGTACCTGGGTTGCAGGCTGGATCCACAAGTTTGGGAGGCAGCCAATGGATGTCTCTCTCACATTGATATCTCTCTCTCCCCCTCCCTTGCTGGATCCCTCCCTTCCACTCTATCAAAAATCAATGGAAAAATATTCTCAGGAGAGGATTAACAAAAACAAAACAAACAAACAAACATAGTGACAATGGGCCAGTGGATAGTGCATTGGCCTGTGGACCCAAGAGTCCCAGGTTCAATTCTGGCAAGGGCGGGAACTTCGGTTGCAGGCTCCTCCCTGGCCCAGGCCCTGGTCAGGGCACATGCAGGAGGCAATCAATTGATGTTGTTTCTCTCACATTGATATTTCTGTCTTTCCCTCTCTCTTCCACGTTCTCTAAAAATTAATGGAAAAATACCCTCGGGTGAGGATAAAAAAAAAAAAAATACTGACATTGGGTGCATTTCAAAGAAGTAGAGTTGTCCTGGTCAGTTTTGCTCAGTGAGTAGAGCTTTGGCCCTCAAACTGAAGGTCGAGGGTTCGATTCCTGGTGATTCCTGGTCAAGGGCACGTACTGGGTTTGATACCCAGCACCAGTCAGGGCATGTGCTGGAGGCAAACCAATCAATGTGTGTCTCCCATGTTGATGTTTTTCTCTCTCTCTCCCCCCCCTCCTCCCTCCCTTCCACTCTGTCTGAAAACCAATGGAAAGAGGGAAATAACCTCAGGTGAGGATTTAAAAACAAAGCAGCTGGGCCAGCATGGCTGAGTGGTTGAACACTGACCTATGAACCAGGAGGTTACGGTTCTATTCCCTGTCAGGGCACATGCCCCGGTTGTGGGCTTAATCCCCAGTGTTGGGCATGCGGGAGGCAGCCGATCCATGATTTTCTCTCATCATTGATGTTTCTATCTCTCTCCCTCTCCTTTCC